TTTTTTTTTTTTTTTTTTTTTTTTTTCTTTTTTCCCCTTCTATTTATTCTTTTGTTTTTCATCTTGTTCCATCCGGACTCGAAGTGATCTGTATTACAACGGTCAATGGGTGTATCGACTGAGCTGTCAGGCCTGTTGGTGTCCGGCAGCTTCTGGCTTCTTGCGCTTCTTGGCAGTTTTTGCGTTATTTAAAAAAAAATAAAAAAAATCCCCGCTTTCCCTGCATCATTATTGGCATTTACGCTTCAAACCAAATCGTGAATGCCTTTCATGTTGACATCAACATATGGCATGTTGTTCGAAGTGATAAGCACACCCATTTTCGTATTCCATGTTGTTCTGAGTGAGTGATTAAGCACGCCCAATTTCTTGGGTTTTTTCTTTTCTTTTCTTTTTTTTCAGTGTTGATAATGTCTGTGCAAATTACTTCCATTTTCTCACTTATCCAGAATTGCAGCCGTGTGTGTTGTGTGCGTGCGTATTCTCACCGGCAAACTGCCATGTGTTTGCTAACCTGCTATTTTCTCTCCGTGCATATATAGGACCCCTTTGTTCTTTGTGTGCGATATGTGCATGTGCCTTCATATTTGCTAAACACTAGACTAGCAACTCTGACTGACAGTTTCTCTCTCTCTCTCCCTCTCTCTCTCTCTCTCTGTATATATATATATATATGTGTGTGTGTGTGTGTGTGTGTGTTTTCAGCATGCTTCGGTATCTGCTTGGTATCAGCGATGAGGAACGTCAACAACGCCGCGAGGAAATTCTGTCAACGAGGTGTGTATGGTGATACCTTTTTTGAATTTTTTTCTCTCTTTTTTTTTTCCTTCCAACTTTTTGGGCTGCACATCTACAACTTACCCAGACAGAACTCAGGAAGGGAAGCTGTGCACATTGTGATCTTATTCTCAAATTGTGGCTGAAAGGTTTTCAGCAACCGTCGGTTCCAACCTGTCTTGCTTATTCGATGGATATCATTCAGCTTTTTTTTTTCTTTTTCCTTTTTTTTCTGTTTTTAATGAGGGGGGAAGGGAAAAGGAGAAGCAGAAGAGTTATCTGCTTGCCCTGGCCAGGGCTCCACTTTTGATGGATTTCACCGCAGTTGTGATCAAATACGTTACGTTAGTGGAGATAAGTTCGGGAAAAGGACTGGTAGTGCAAGCATGTCATAAGAGTAGAGAGCTAGAGAAGACCCTTTGCGATGTTCTTCACGACAAACATGTGTCATATTCGAGTCTTCGCCGTCTTTCGAGGAGCGTAGATAAGTCACCCCCC